GGCTATCCCAAGGGGTGGATGCCCTGTTGTTCATCTCATGAGACCCAACGTCTTATTGGCTGGCTGAGTGGTCTCGACCCATGCATCCAGGCCCCTGATTGGCTTTCATATTGCGTGTGGCTACACTCCCAAGTATTTTATGCGTTTCCTCTACATGTGTTTGTGTATGTAGTGAGACAACTCCGTGTCTGATCTTGGCAGGGTGCCGTCAAGTTGTGTATGTACCTGCAGGTAGATGACAGAGTCTTGATGTAAAACAGTTCAAAGAGTTGGCCAATATTAGACCACATGCAGCTGAAAATGTGTACTGTGTACTAACATAGTTTTAACCACAAGATCTTTGAGGAGATTCTTTCATTTACTCACCATCATGTCATTTCATGTGTGAATTTCTTTCTTCTGTTAGGTTATTTTCTCTTACAATGACTTGGGTCTTGACTCTTGAGCTTTCAAGTTTCTAATGAAGTATTTAGAAATCATTTCAACCTTATTCCTGACGAGTTTACTGCGTTTTAAATTATGGCTGGCACTTTTCCGCTTTGGGGAACTTCCATTCAAAAAGACAGAAACTAATCTTTTCAAATCATAAGGTTGGCCTACAAATAAAGCTTATCCATCAGTTTGACTGAATGAGCTGTCAATTTTCCTTTGTTTTATTTTCTGACATCATAACGTCATAACATCACACTTGGTTCATGGTCTGTTAAAAGTACCTTGTTGATGCTTTTACACTTTTAAGTGTCCCTTTAATATTCGATGGATAAAGGGTGAGTAGAATAATGTAATCTCATTCTACCTAGTTTAAAAAAAAACAAAAACAGCAAGTTATTGCGTTCATGAAGTGAGCCTTTCACTGATTATTGACAGCTTAACGGAAGTTACACCCATAATTCATGCAAAGCGTCATGGGGCGTAGGAATAAGGTATATACAGTGTTGGGTAAGTTACTCTAAAAAAGTAATTAATTACTAGTTACTAATTACCTCTTCAACAGTGTAACTAGATAACTGTACTAATTACTCTCTCTAAAAAGTATTTAATTACTTTTAATTTCTTTCAAAATCCCAAATCAATCTCAACCAGCTGAATAATACAAGGATAGACATGAATCTGTTTAAAGGCTTTCAAAAAAAAAAAATACTATAAAATTGCATGAATTATCCTTAAACTGACCAAGGTGGATAAGGTTACATTATTTCATTTCATTTCATTTCATTTATTTTCTATTCTCTCTTTTCATGGTAATGCAACACGAAATACCACAAGAACAATTTAACAAATCAAACCAACACAAATTATAAAAAAATATAAATAATAAAAACATACTTTAACATCAGACAATAGATTTTGATGTTAAACCCACTATTGTTTTATGTCTGATCTCACACATTTTCATACATATTTTACAATAACTCATACGAATTTGTACGAGTGCGGTTGTACAATTTAGACACCTCATGAAATGAATATGAATCGCTGTGAGATCGGATTGATCTATACACAGTATTTACCTCAATTACATCAGAAGTAACTGTAATTAAATTACAGATAAATGAAGAGTAATCCCTTACTTTACATTTTCAAGGGAAAAGTAATTAAATTACAGTAACTAATTACTAAGTAATTAGTTACACCCAACACTGGGTATATATGATGTATGTTTAAAGTTACAGGACACAAACGATTGAGGAACAAACTTAAATGTAAGTCACAGAGCTGCCAACTCTTATGCATTGGCTGTGAGACACCCGCATTTGATTGGTCTCACACGCCACACCCCCGATTTCTCATGCTGAAGTGTCAACCTGGTCGCTCAAATGCCTGGAAAATTAGTTTATCTTTATCTACCTGTTGAGCCACTCATTATCGACTAGTTATGCCGCAAATTAAATCTTCCAGAATCTAGAGAGATTTTGCTCCAAACTGTGTAGCACCGCACAGCACTCCATTTCTTGCAGCTAACATCTGCTACAGCCGCCTACTGTACCAACACGTTAATTCCTTAAGCCTTGTTCACACTACATGATTTTAAAACGTTGGGCTGAACTGTGCGGTTCATACTACATGACTTGCTCTCAGTGAAATCAGGAGTTCAAGTTGTTTAGCTGTTCACACCACACAAACAACGTGATTGATCCACAACAGGAGGTAACTCACTACACGAGTTGACAACGCCCTACATAGAGATACAACCACGATCGGATGATAAGAGCAAATCATTTGTGACTCAATGGCTACGTTCACACTGCAGGCTGAAACGACCTAATTCCGATTTTTTTGCCCCTATGCGACCTGTATCTGATTTTTTCATGACAGTCTGAACGACACAGATCCGATCTTTTCAAATGCGACCCAGGACACTTGGGTATGTGGTCTAAATCCGATATGAATCCGATCTTTTGAAATGCGACTTCAATCTGAACGGCCAGGTCACATATATCCAACCCGCACGTCATTGCACGCACCTGTAGCTAGCCAATACACGGTAACTCCAACGCGTTTCTGCACTGTTATGGGCTGCTGCAGACGTGTCTCTTCCTCAGAGTTGTGCCTGAACGCGTTCAATGAACGATAGTGCATGAACGCGTTCATATACTGTATTACTGCCTGATGAACATTACTGTGAACACGTTCATTCTGGTGTCTGTGAACGTGCGCTCTCTGTCAGTTTAACTTCGTACAGTAGGGTGCCAGATTGATTTCTATAGAGCCTTCCAGGCGAAAACCATGGCTAAACACATGTATACATGCCTTAAAATGTAGCGAAAAAACACCCAATCTGGCAACACCAGCCACCAGTGTTGCACCGCGGCCGCCGGTGACAAAGCAAGGAGCGCCGAGGACGCGCACTATCAATTAAACGGGTTTTATCACGAGGTCGGTGAGGATCAGAAAGATCTTGCATTTATGTGCAAACTTTGCCCGTCGATAAAATAATTGTTGTCTGTGTTATGGGCTGTGGCAATAATAATAATAATAATGAAACAAAAGCTCGAAATAATATGGAAAAAAAACTATTCCGCAAACAACAAGTGACGTCGTTGACTGTTGATTACTCTTCTGCGCATGCGGGTTACTTCTGGGTCATTTCACGTTCACACAGGACATCACAAAAGGTCGCATTTAATTGGAAATGTGAACGGCCTTGTAAAAAAATCGAATTTTTTCAAAAAATCAGAATTGAGCATTAAGCCCTGCAGTGTGAACGTAGCCAATGAGAGCTGTTTCAGTATGGTACGGTCTAAATCCTGAAAATAATCAAATAAATAACGAGTTGACAACAACTCTGTCACCCAACGATTCTATCTTGTCTACAAACCACGTTTTGTCACGAAAAAACACGCAATAAAACGAAATAGAAATGACGCGAAACAGCACGTGTGCCAATACCCAGTGAAGAAGAGAACACAACACGGCAATATTATGGACATCAGACAGAAACTAGGGCTGCACACCGTATGCGTGACGATGTGCTCTGAGAAACGATGTGCTCTGCGAGGCGTCTGCGAGCGTTTTCGCTGCGTTGTTGGCCCTTTCATACTAACAGATTGGCAAGCGTTCATCGTCCGCTAATCCCCCCCGATTTGCACGCGATAACACCCTGACATGTCGGCGAGCTCAACGATTTGCAAATCGGGCATAAATCGGGCTTAAAATCCTGTAGTGTGAACTTGGCTTTAGCAGCAAGGCACGGAGTAATGGCGGCGCTGCTTTACTTCCGTGTTTCGCCGGATTTGTGTATAGGAGCAGCGATTAGGTGAATATGTAAATATGTGCTGCACACCTTCCTCTAAATAACAAAATAACACAACAAAAGTGACAGCAGAGAAAACAGCAGTTAACAAAGCATCTGATCATAGTGATGTGAATGTGTTTGCATCAGCTGTGCAATTCAGCACTCGTCAAGTCACGTTTATTTAATATTTTGTACAACGGATTTCTTTAAAGCAAGCAGATTTACAGTTAAACAGTGTCATTGTCACTTACAATTGTAATTACAACTTCCTCTTCTACTATAAAACAATTATTCCGTGTGTTCATGTTTTACTCGCATCTAACCTCGACAAAATGAACAGAACAAATGAACCGGTGAAGGTTAATCCTACCTATTGTGTAATCGCCGGATCAATGGTCATTCAAAAGTCTTTACCATCTGAAGCAAACATTTCTGGAAAGTTTGCTTTGGTAAGCTGTTTCGAACTCAAAAAATTAACCACAAACAAACTTAATTTTGGCCTTATTTTGTTTGAAATGACGTCAAGATTTATTTATTTTTTTTTTAAAAAGCAAACATGAAAGTTTATCCCTAAATATAACCGTCACTGGGGAATGAGCAGATCGTGCACAAATAGATGACTACTAAAAAAAAGTCATAGGATTGAGAATGTCTAGTAACTATACTATATATACAGGGGTTGGACAATGAAACTGAAACACCTGGTTTTACAACACAATAATTTGTTAGAATGGTGAGGGCCTCATTTTGCATCCAAATACAGCACCAATTGACAGATAGAAGTCCTTCACAGTGACCAGAGGGATTATGAGCGGTTCCTCTTCCAGAACAGTGTCCAGGTCACTATATGATGCTGGTGGACTCGCTCCTCCAAAACACCTCAATAATATTCAGATCTGGTGACTGTGCAGACCATGGGAGATGTTCAACATCACTTTCATCTTCATCAAACCCTTCTGTCACAAGTCTTGCTGTGTGTGTTGGTGCATGATCATGCTGATGCACGGTTTGAGCATCAGGTGCTCATGATCCTCTAGAAGGGTTTGGTAGTCCTCGGCAGTGTCGTGTCCATCAAATACAATCAGGATTGTCATGATATTGGAGCTCAAACCATCACTGATCCACCCGTGCTTCACTCTGAAGATTGGCCGCCATGCATATAGATGTGAAACCTCCAACATTGGCCAGTGTTTCAGTTTCATTGTCCAACCCCTGTATATAAATATATAGTAACTTGGTGTATATCTGTGTGTGTATGTGACAGGTATCGCCCTGATGATGAACCTTTGTGAGGAGGTCCATGTGTACGAGTATATTCCTTCTATGAGAAAAACTGATCTGTGCCATTACCATGAGAAGTACTATGATGCAGCCTGCACTTTTGGAGCTTACCACCCTCTGCTTTATGAGAAACTGCTTGTTAAGAAGATGAGCACAGCTTCTGAGGAGGACCTCAAGAAAAAGGGAAAGGTCACACTGCCAGGATTCAGTAAGATCAACTGTCCACTGTGATTTAAAGGGCCCCTATTATTACAAGGGACCAACTTTATTGGACTCATTGACCACAAAAATGTACACGTTGATACCAAATTTGTCATTATAGCTATAACAGAAGCAAAGATATGGGCCTCTCAAGTATGATTGGCGGCCATTTAAAAAAAAAAATGTGCATATATAACAAACAAAATGTGATCTCACTTGTGTCTTAGGATAAATTTATTTCTATGGCCCTAAGGTACTTCCATACCAAAGGGGACCTTTGCATCATGACTTCAAGTCAAAAGTCGCTTAACCTCTCTACTATATTAAGCTATTTTAAAGTTTCCTAATGTTGTCGAGTCTGTTTACATGCTTACAGGTTTACATGCATCAAAGGTAAAAAAAAAAAAAACTATTTAATTTCCTTATAATATATATGTGCACATCATAACATTTTCAATGATTATCAAACGACTTGTCAAATGAATCTCTCTAAATCCCTCCTTTCCGCGAGCTACTCTGCTCTGATTGGCAAGAAAGTTTAGTCTGTTGTGATTGGCCTACCGTGTACAGTGCGTCAAAATCAAAAACGCCCATTGCCATAACAATGTCAGCTGTGCTTGAGGCTTCCTACACTGTAAACTAAACACAGTAACGAATAATGACGTCGATTTGACCATATTAATGTGAGCGCAAGTCCAATGATAAAACACTGGAAGAGCTTGTTATTCAACCTGATCCTCCATCGCAAGGATGACTTGAGCAGGACGTTTCTCAGTGATACACTGCCGGTACTCAGTTTGAGGTACATTATGAGAAGTTGCAACTGTAATTCCTCACCATGCACATTAACAAGTCCATGTCCATCAACAAACCGATTATTTTACTTGCACTAATTTATTTACAGAGTATTTTTCTAATATATTGCGGTGAATAAGTGGAAACTGAATCAATCAACAGTGCATGCATGCAATGTACATTAGCTGCACTAGAGTAAATGAACATAAAACATTGGCAAAGCAGATATTTCCTCAAAGTAGTGAGAACAGACCATCTGCATTAATAGACACAGTTTAAGGTAATAGTGGCTCACAACTGATCAGCAGAAGTATTTCAGTAAGACAGTAATAATGTGAGTTAACCAGTTAGCAGGAGACCTACACAATATAAAACTGAAAACTAAGTATTTTAAACACCATCTTTCAAGCGGTGCAAGCGAGCAAATGGTTTGCGAATCCTGCATTGAACTCCGAGATTTGAGAAGCAAATCAGTTAAATTAAAGGAACACAGGAACACAGTAAAAGTTTAGGATTACACTGCTGTGCTTCAAAATCGCTCAAAATTAATGATATGATCTCAGATTATAATCTAGATGTGCTGTGTTTGACAGAAACCTGGCTGAAACCAAACGATTACATTAATTTAAAGCCACCCACAAGATTACTGTTATAAACACGAACCTCGTCTGAGAGGCAAAGGGCGAGGTGTTGCTGTAATTTATTGTAATATCCTCAAAACCACTAAGAAATCTAGTTTTAAATATACTTCTTTTGAAGTGTTCATGCTTAATGTAAAAATACATAAACGAAACGAGTGTAAATGATAAATCACGTTTGAAAATTCTGCTGGCTACTTTATACAGACCACCAGGGCACCATAAAGATTTTATCAAATAATTTGCAGATTTTCTATCAGAATTAGTATTGGCTGCAGATAAAGTACTAATAGTTGGTGATTTTTATATACATGTAGATAATGAAAAAGATGCATTGAGATTGGCATTTAAAGACAGTGGGTCTCATTCATGAAACATTCGTAAATATACTAGTAAATATGAGAGTGATTTGCGTGTAAAGAGACCCATTGTAAACTCTATTGGAGTTAGACAACACAGGATCTACTCATTGTCGTAATTACACTGTAGATCTAATAGTATCACATGGAATAGATGTTGATACCGTTGAAATTCTGCAGCAGAGCGATGACATCTCAGATCATTATCTAGTCTCATGTAAATTACATTTAGCCAAGGCTGCAAAGCCGACTCCGTGTTATAGATATGTCAGACCTACTTCTGACACTAAAGATTGCTTTATCAATAATCTTCCTAATTAGTTTCATCGCCTTCGCATTCTGGATAACTTAGAAGAACTAGAGGTATTTCAGGTTTCATGGAAAGACTCGACTGTTTACACAGAGGCCTTAAAAGCTGCTAGATCTGCTTATTTTTCAATCCTATTAGAAGAAAATAAACATAATCCTAGGTATTTATTTGAAACAGTGGCTAAACTAACGAATAAGAGAGCTCCAAGCCCAGAGGTGTCCAAGCAACACAGCAGTAATGATATTTTATGAATTTCTTCACTTATAAGATTGATAATATCAGGAACAAAATTTTAACTATGCAACCGTCTACTACAGTATTGGATCAGGGAATACATCGTCTCCCTGAGGAAAATTTTCATTCATTTGATGCTATAGGAGAGGAAGAATATTGCAAACTCGTTAATTCATCTAAATCGACAACTTGTATGTTAGACCCTATACTGACTAAGCTACTGAAAGAGATGCTTCCAGATTTCATCCTCTTCTTAATACCTTCTTCTACCTTTAAGCTGACTATGATGAAAGCACTTGTTAAAAAAACGCAACTTGATCATAAAAAAAATTAGTCAATTACAGGCCGATCTCGAATCTACCTTTTCTGTCAAAGATATTAGAAACAGTAATCTCGCAACTGTGTTCCTTTCACGAAGAAATGATATCTGCAAGGATTTTCAGTCCGGATTAAGGCCGTACCATAGTACCGAAACATCTCTTGTTAGAGTCACAAATTATTTGCTCTTATTTGTTCAAAAACTTTGCTCTTAGTGTTACTTGATCTTAGCGCTGCATTTGACACAATTGACCAAAACATCATTCTTTTGAATAGACTAGAAAACTATATGTTGGCATAAGTGGAATTGCACTAGCATGGTTTAAATCATACTTATCTGACCGTTATCAGTTTGTAGCGGTAATGGCGTTCAGTATGGCGTACCACAAGGCTCAGGACAAGGACCGCTGCTGTTCTCTCAGTACATGCTGCCATTAGGAGATATCATTAGGAAACATGGAATTAGCTTTCATTGTTATGCCGATGACACTCAGCTCTATATTTCTTCAAAATCTAACGAAAACTTACCAGTTCATAAAATTAACGGAATGCATAGCTGATATAAAAAAATAGATGACTAGTGATTTCCTACAACTAAATTCTGAAAAAAAAACAAAAAACAAAACAGAGATTCTGATTATTGGACAAAAAAAAAAACGTCCACATGTAATAAACTAGAATACTGTCTAACAAATGAAGGCTGCTCTGTTAATTCTTTGTCATTGATTAGGAACCTGGGTGTGCTATTTGATGCCAATCTTTCATTTGAAAGTCATGTGTCTAGTATCTGTAAAAACACATTTTTCCATCTTAAAAATATTTCTAAATTACATCATATGCTCTCATTGACAAATGCGGAGCAATTAGTTCATGCGTTCGTGAAAACAACAAGACTAGATTATTGTAATGGTCTACTGGGTGGTTGCCCTGCTCGCTTAAAAAACAAACTACAGGTAGTACAAAATGCGGCAGCTCGAGTTCTTACCAGAACCAGGAAGTACTGTATGACCATATTAGCCTGGTTCTGTCAACACTGCATTGCATGTCTATTAAACATTGTATACATTTTAAAATATTGTTGATAACTTACAAAGCACTAAATGGTTTAGCTCCGCAGTACTTGAACAAGCTCTTAACGCATTATGCGTCTATTGCAATCCCAAAATTCCAGCCAGTTAATAATTCCTAGAATATCAAAATCGACTGCTGGCGGTAGATCCTTTTCCCCTATAACACCAAAACTGTGGAATAGTCTTCCTGCCATTGTCCGGGAAGCAGACACACTCTGTCAGTTCAAAGCTCGATTAAAGACACATCTCTTTGCCCTAGCATACACATAATAAACATTGAATTATAGACTCAAATAATTCAATGTTAGGCTGCATAGATTAGGTCAGCCGGAACTGGGAACACTTCCCTTAAATCCTGATGTACTCATTACATCATAAGAAGAATGGCATCTACGCTAATTTGAGTGTGTGTTCTTTGTATATCTTAAGGCTTTCCCGCAGCCTGTCGGATCCAAGCCGTATCCAGATCTGACGAAGAGCTTAGCGGTGCAGTGCTGAAGAGCCAACTAGCCTCTCCCTATGGAGGATCCCTTTCACTCTACAGATAAAGCGTTGAGAATTTCGTTTTGTGTACCTACCCCTAAGTGATGAAATAAAACAAAATTCTGTATCAAATTTATAGACAAGACAAGTAGTTTGTTCAGGCATGGTTTTGTTGGGAATTACAAACCTGCGCACATATATTCAAAAACAGATAACCATAAAATCAATTCTTAATGAGCATGTGAACGCCATCAGCGTTTATCACAGGTTCTCGTTTAAACTCTGTATAGAGACATTCATATACATTTTTATCTTACAGTTAGTGTAAATCAGGCCTCTAGTTCATAAAAGCTAGAGGAGAACTCGCCCCCAGCTGAGCTTGGGTTCTCCCAAGGTTTTTTTTTTTTTTCTCCATTGGGTCACCTGATGGAGTTTTAGGACACTATTAGGTCACTTAATTGAGTTTTTAGGTTCCTTGCCACTGTTGCCTTTGGCTTGCTCAGTTGGGGATATTCGAATTAATTAACCAATCAGTAATACCCTCGATCAGCTCTTGCACTTTCAGATTTAAAACTTTGCAGGATGTTTTCATTCACTTAGAGCTATGTTACACACTACATGAAAGGTAATTTTCAAAAATCCATAATAGGGGCCCTAAACACAAATCACAGTACAAACCCATCTGATCTAAATTAACGCAGACTTTTGTCATCTAATAGGGGTTTTATATATAGTTCTTATAACAATCTGAGAAAAGACATAATGAGGAGGATACAGTACTTTCACAGAAGTTTTGATGGGAGGCTTCATCTCATATGGCCCTTATACTAAAAGACTGGCGACATATTCAGAACTGACCTCAATTCACAGATGCTGTGAATACAAAACATGTTTGTGATGCAAGACTGTGAATACAAAACATGTTTGTGATGAAGGACAAGAGGAGAGTTTCTTACTTGAACGAGCTACTGAAATTAGCACAGAGATTGTAAATATAAAGATCCAATTACACTATTTCCTGAGTGGAATCAAATTGTAGTTTGCTTTCTAATTTTAACAAAGAAAAAAAAAAATGAAGAGAGGATTGAATAACTTAAGTTTCAAATTTCCCAAACGTTGGGATTTTTTTTTTATCTTTGTCATTTAAAGGTTCATTGTGTACTATTTAGGAGGATCTGTTGACCATTATGCAATATGATATACATAACTATGTTTTCAGTGGTGTATAAAGACTTACTTAATGATTACTTAATGTATTTATTACCTTTAGAACGAGCCATTTCTATCGACATACACCATGGGTCCCCTTATATTGAAATAGCCATTTTGCGCAAACATGTTTCTACAGTAGCACTAAATGGACAAACACATTTATCAGTGATCACTATGGTGTTCTTCAACAAAGAAGCTAGATAAAGTCAGCAAATAAAACATTGACACAATGATGAACAACAATACAAAAGTAACAATAATATTCGCAATAACAATTTACTGAATAATTAAGTAAACCTAAATTCTTAATTTATTTTGTAAAGAAACCTCTTTACTTGCTTAACTGGCTACACTTTTCTTGTTGGCGACCTTAACTACTGTTGGTGGCAATTTGGAACCTCATCGCTAGATGCCGCAAAAAATTACACTGCACCTTTAAGGCTGCTCACATTTTGTAAAGGATGATAAACTTTTATTGTTTGAATGTTTAATGTGGTAAGTGGAAAGAGATTCCCGTTTCTGTGCTGTTCTCATAATTTTTTGTGATACATTTTTATTAATTATTTTGCACTTCTCATCAATTAGATGACACTATTAAAGCTGTTATTATACTAGAGCCAAAATAATTGGATTTTTACTGTGGATAATTGAGCAATGTTTTTTAATTATTTAATTATTTAATGCTCATGTCACGTGCATAGCAATTCTATTGTCCTTTTTTTCTACTTACTCTATATACTGTAATTATAAACTTGGTACATGTATTTTAAACACCTGCAATGTATTTTCACCAAAAATGAAATATTTGTTTTAATCTGCACCAATACTTATCTGCTGTTATTGTCTATAGAACTCACATTTTAAAAGGGCAGGGGTCGACAACCTATGGCAGCTATTTACCGAGGGTTAATCGCTGCCACGTAAGCAAAAGCAAGAGAGGTGTTTGCATTTTATTCAGATAAAATACCTTGTACCTGCATAAAGATGTAAATGCTGTGAATGGAACAATTATACCAAAACAGATAGCCGTCTGATCATTTAAAACGCATGCATGACCAGGTGTAAATAGGGCCTTTGGAAATCTGTTCTTCAAAGTCTAATTAAAACCTGAAAATGTAAAACAAATTTGATGAAAATTTGCTTCAAAAGTATTAAGGGTTCTATTCTTAGGTTCTATTACTACAGTATGTTAGCCATTATGAATATTAAAAATGTGTTTGTGTTTATGTGGGGTGGGGGTTGTGGCACATTGTTTAACTCAGTATCTTAAAAATGGCACTTCATGACTAAATGGTTGCCGACCAAGTGTTTAATATTATTTTTAATTTCTTACAATCATTCCAGCACTTGACATGGTTACTTTTATAGGGTGGTAATTTGTTCTTCATTGTTATGGATGTAAGTTTATACTGAATAAAGAAAATGAAATAAATGTATTTAGTGGAAGAAATGTTATTTTAAGCACCCATGTGGTTATGTATATATATTTCTCAATGTATATCAGAAAACATATCCTATCCAGTGCTAATTAAAACGTTGGAAATGTCTAACCTGTTTATTCATAAGGATGTAAATAAGAGGGTTGATGACTGTGCTGCTTTTGGCAAGTAGGGACGGCACCACGCTCGCAATGGGTGTGATGATCCCCGGATGTCCAAACGTGGCCATCATTGCAACAACCCCATAAGGCATCCAGCACAAAAGGTAGCACACCACTGTAGTGATGACCATAAATAAAATGTGGTACTCTCTCCGCCTTGCTGCTGTCTTCCTGATACGCCCTACCTGAGGAAAAACATGTAAATTAGATTGTATTTTTTCTTTGCAGCATCAGATGATTCAGAACAAGTCTTCAAGATACACAAATCCCTAAAGAAATAATTAACCTACATTGTGGTTTCACTGACGCATCAGGTTCATGAACATCATTTATTGATAAAGATTTCAGCAATTTCACACATTTATGAGTGTATGAACAGATACAGTAAAATTCATTCCAAATATAATGAATCACATTTAACAAATTGATATATAGGGTCTTCTTCATTATGTAAATACACAATGTTTCATGTTCACTTTAAAAGCTAGAATCTAGAACAGTGCATTCTTAAAAATATAAGGTTTTTCTTTTTTAAAAGTCTTATTTTTCATCATTTTCACCTTTATTGTAAGCCGCTTTCTCCTCTGTCATTTGAACAACCAGTTTGCATCCTGATTCTATGAAACCACTCACTCAGAAACAGGCAATGGGCTCAGATTGGTTAGTTTAGGCCGGTGTTGTAATTGGCTAAACTGTGTAGTGCATGTTGTCTGGAAACTTCACACCCATTACCTTTACGGGCGAAGTTGCATGTGTTCCTGTCAAGTAAATAATGGTGTCGCCTTATTAGTTTGAGCCAGAATCAGACCCAGAAAGCGGAGATGAAGAGAGTCAAGCTGAACCTCCCCAAACACGGCTCTTACAAAACGTTTCTGAATAGTAATTTGACAATGTTTTTTTTAACTTTATGCACGTTTGTCTTACACTAAATAGCATCGAACTAACTATGCACAAACAGCGTTGGCATTGGTTTACGTTCTTGATCAAATCGAAAAATAACGTAATAAAGTATATATATACATGAAAAATACATTTACAAATTTAGTACATATACAAATTCAGATCCAAAATGTTTGTACGCGTTTGTCGTAGAAACGAAATAGCATAACTAAGTGACAGAAATATGGCAATGCCCTTTTTTGCATATTCCGGAGGGAGGGAGGGAGGGTTGATGCAAATGTATGGGTTAGTTACGTATAAAACCCGACCCGTTGTAGTCCCATTCAAGTCGTTTTTGTAGGCATTAAACTTCCTGATTTTTAAAAGACAATATCTCTGCTTACATTGAACCAACAGCAACATTACACACTATTTAAAATGAAAAAAGTGAAATCGCAATCAACCACCCCTTTAAGAACTGCTCATTAAGGGTATGTTTTGATTCAATTGAACACTGGTGCGATTGCTCTGTTAGTGTGGTTCAACGCCACACAGCCAAGAACCTGTCGTGTTAAACTTTCAAGAAATGAGAACTCTGGACCCCGGGTTATCCATGTCTAAGGTCATAAAATCTGAAAAATGTAAGCGGCGAAGACCAGCAAGCTGGATCACAAACTTCTTGAATGGACACCCCAGAAATTAGGGCCTTGGAGGCCACCATCCCCCTAGTAGAATGGGCTCTAGTGGCCAAAGGTGAAGGCTGGCCCAGAACCTCATATGCAAGAAATAGCCTTGACTATCCACTTGCTAACCGTCTAATTGGATGCAGGAAGGCCGTTCTTAAGGGGCCCAAAGCATATCAGCAATTAATCAGACTTTTTCCACTGGGCATATTGGAGATACTATCTCTTTTACAACTGTGAGGATTGAAGCTACATAAGCAGGCGAGAGCACGGCCTTTAAGGTCACTGAATCCCACATGAATCTCAATTCTTTACTGAAAGATGGAGAATAGTGATGGGAAGTCCGGTTCTTTTCCGCGAACCGGTTCTTTCGGACAGTTCGTTTTAATGAACCGGTTCAAAAAACCGGTTCACCAGTTCTTTTACGTCATCACGTAATGACGTCAATTCTATCATCCCGGCGGATAAAAATACTTCAAATTAAAGGGCATTTGTAATCACAACTTCAGTTAAATAATAGTATGCATTGTCATAATCATCTTGGATAAGTTTCTTACATTTACATTTTGAAAACGAACCCTGCAGCCTAGGCGATGTGCTAACGCGGATGTTTTACATGTTTTAAATATATAAAATGCATAAATGGTCTTCATCATTTTATTTGTTATTAAATAAACTTACATTTCGCCGATTCGCCCTCTCATTTAAGTCCTGGGTTCACCCGTACTACTGCGTGCTCGTATATCAGCACAGGATCAGCCGGCCGAAAGAAAGTTCTGTTCAGAGACGGTGCTATCACGCCTGCGCAGTATCTCCAGCTCATCGGTTCTCCGTATCGAACGTGTCCGAAAGAAACAGTTCTCGGTTCTGTACTAGTGATTCAAGAACTGCAACAACCAGTTCTCGACTCGAGAACCATAGCATAGGCCTGTGTGTGCTGACCTGAAACCTGATACAGTCCACAAAACTAAAAAATCGATGCATGTCTGTCTCCAATATAGCCTTCTGTAGCCTATACAGTATAT